TGGTGCTTAATTCTTGTAGTTGCTCTTTTAAACTCTAGCAATAGCCTGAGTTCCCAGATGTATTTTCTTTCTTTTTTTATTAATAAATTTTACCTTTTTTAAGAACAGAATTGGATTTTTGTGTCTGAAGAGGTTTGTGCACATTGTTTAATTAGCTGGTGCCAATAGCTGATTTCCCTTTTTCCCCCCCTTCTTTCTCAGCTCTTCCCTGGGGGGGGGATGAAAGGACTTGAGGGTACCTCACAGGAAGGAATTCCCAAGTGCACCTTCCTGGGCTCTCAAAGGGATTCTGCACTTGGGTGGTGGCAGCATCTACCAATCCAAGGTCAGAGAAAAGCTGTAACCTTGGGAGTTTAATACAAGCCTGGAGTGGCCAGTATTAATTTTTAGAATCCTTGCGGGCCCCACTTCTGCACTCAAAGTGCCAGAGTGGGGAATTAGCTTTGACAGGCCTAAGCCCCGCTCTTTAAAGGGACTTAGGGAGGCACAATCCCAGCTGAGGACCTTCTGCTGGACTCAGGCATCAGCGGTCAGCACAGCCTTTCCTGGCACAAATGCAGCAGGAGGAGCTGGGTATCCATTGCTGAGCTCTGGCCTGGTCTGTCTGGCAGGGCAGCAGGCCTGCTGTCCCACAGGCTGGTGGGGGGCTCTGAAGTGAGAATGCAGTCAGATTGGGCACAAGTCCCCAAAGTGCCACCTACCTGTTTCTCAGCATGAGCAGGGACTTCATTAGCAATCCCCCGGCAGATCCTTCAATCAGATTCTCACTAAGTAGATTCCCCTGTGGCTCTGGTCTCCTCCACCCCCCTCACTCGAGTCAAGTTCGATCCTGCCCCATTTTCCTGATCTTGTCCTTCCCATCTAATTTACTCCCGGCCGCCAGACACTCAGCACAGTGAGAGCCAGCAGCGACTCTTGTGACAGTCTGTCCCTCTATGTTCACCCTTTTTAAAGACTATGATAAATTTTGTAAAAAGTATGCCTTGCGAGATATCCTTTGAAAACTCATACTTTGTTGTGACACACACTTTTCCAAGACAATAATGATCAGCATTGTATGTAAGTTATGAGATTCTACTGTATGATGTTTCTGAGACGTTCCAAGTCCAGGAAAACAACCACAAACCAGTTCCTCAGAGACAAATGGCAAACTGATGCCTCAGCCAGATGTCAACAGAATCAAATGGACCATCACCTGGCTAAGTGGCCATTCTTTAGCAGGAAAGAGAATGTGGGTAAAAATTTACATTTTGACAAAGGAACAGCTTGAGATTCCTGCCCAAACAAACTTTCTGTCGCCTGAACCTCAGTTGGAGGTGGTTTTCAAAAAAAGAGAGCTATAAGAAAGGGGAATGGACACCTCAAAATACTTCTTCCTTTCTCTCTGCTCATGGCATCAGCAACAGTTGAAAGACATGGAAAGTAACACTGAACTGGAGGAGGGATCCTCTGAGGTCCTATTGTAATTTTTGCACAAAAAATACACTAGCGTCTTCACTAGAAATCCAGATTTTGCGCTGAAACTGAGCAGTTTCAGCACAAAAATAAAACCACCCCAACGAGAGTCTTTTTGCTTTTTGCGCTGATTCTTTTGCGCAGATGTGCCAGTGAAGACTCTTGATTGCTTTTACTGGTCTAATTGCCCTCCAGAGCTGTCCCACAATGCAGAGTGGGAATGGCCGATCTTTGAAACTCAGCAGTCCTGCCTGCACGTAGGCGCCCCTCCCCTTTAGCTCCGTTCTGACAGCTGGTGCTGTCACTGCTCTGGAACACAAAACAAATCATTATTGTGGAATGCTCCTGCTGCTTCCCACAATGCAAACAGAGGCAGGCAGACAGAATGTGTTGTGCAGAGTCAGGGAGGGAGGGGGGGGCTGGGGGTGGGGGTCTCCCCCCCCCCGCTTTAGGACTGGTTGCTTCCGGCGACTGTCTCACTCACACACACACACACACATCCACCCCTGCCATAATAATGATTTGCTTTGTATCCCGGAGCAGTGCATAGTGGGATAGCTACCACAGTGCACTCCTCTCATCTGCAATGCAAGTGCTGCATATGTAAACACACTCTGACACCTGTGGAAAACAATGTGAACACAAACCAGTGCTTTTCTTTTAGCGCTTTTCTATCACCGACAAAACTGTCAGCAAAAAAACTCTGCAAGTGTAGACATAGCCTTACCTTCTGTCAGTTTGCCTGCTTGTTCTGCAGCTCCTCCTGGCAGGATTTTGGAGAACATGCTCTCTCCATCCACCCCAGGCTGTCCAGCTGCTGCCCCAGTGGGTGGGGGAGCCCCTTCTGGCTTCTGACCCACTTTAATACCTGCCAGGGAATATATAGAGCCATAGTAAGGAGGAGAACCCAGCCACAGCCCCTCCCCGGCACGGGCAGCACCTATGTGACTTATTAGAGCTGGGGCCAGAGCCCAGGTGCTTTCAGCTGCCAGGAGACTGTGGCATGACTGATACAGATTAGGGCAGGCTGCTTTTGGGCACCTTCTGCACATCTGCTTCCCTGACTGGGGGATGCCAACCCACCCTGGGTCAGTGCTAGGGTTACCATATTTGAACTTTCAAAAAAGAGGACACTCCGGGGGGGGGGGTGTAGCCCCGCCCCCTAGCCACTCCCTCCCAATTCCCGCTCCCCTGACTGCCCCCCACAGAACCCCCAACCCATCCAACCCTCCCTGCTCCTTGTCCCCTGATCGCCCCTTCCCGGGACCCCTGCCCCTAATCACCCCCCGGGACCCCACCCCTTATCTAAGCCTCCCTTATCTTTGTCCCCAACTGCCCCCTCCTGAGACCCCCCCACCCTACCTGTCCCCTGACTGTTCTGACTCCTAGCCACACCCCTGCCCCCGCCAGATCCCCGGGACTCCCACGCCTATCCAACCGCTGCCTGTTCCCTGACTGCCCCCCCTCCCCCCGAACCTCCAACCCATCTAACCCTCCCTGTCCCCTGACTGCCCCAATCCCTCTCCACACCCCTGCCCCCTGACAGGCCACCTGTAGCGGCACAAACAGCTCCTGCTCCCGTTTTGCTACAGGCGTGCTGAAGCTGCAGCGGGGGAGGGGCGTTTGCTGCCTGAGCGGCTCAATCCGGCGCGGCTGCCCTGTCAGCCGCTTTTGGGTCTTTAGATAGCCGTCCGGGGGGAAATCCCGGACATTTTTAGCTTTTTACAAATTCCCCCCGGACGGCCCCGGACGGCTATTTAAAGACCCAAAAGCCGGACATGTCCAGGGAAACCCGGACGGATGGTAACCCTAGTCAGTGTTGACCCCTCTCCTGCCCTGAGGACCATGACCGCCCAGTGCTAGGCTGGGGATCTGGCCCCATTCCATAGCCTGCCAAGGGCGGGACGCATTTATTTCCAGGCCCTGAGTGATCTCAGCCTCTGAATGCTGTGACGTGCTAGGGAGGGATAAAAGTGGATCTTCTCTTTGGAGAGATCAGGCAGCCATGGCCCTAGCGAACACAGCTGGTGCCTGGTTGCTCCTTCAGTGCCAAGGGCACTGCCAGCCAGCATGGGCGCAGGTGGCCTGGCAGGGCCCAATGTGTCGATCTGGCTCACTGACCTGCTGCAGTCTTTCCCAGTGGCTGTGCTTGGGGCGCTCTCCTGTGCGGTGGTGGCACTTTTGTGGTGGGTTTGAGCATATCCACCTGATCCGCTTTTGGCTGTAACATGAAATGCATATTTCAGAATTCCCCTGGTCTCTCTGTGCATGGGTGGGCAGGTGAATAGGGCATGGGGCTGGCAGAACAGCAGTCCCAGTGGCATGGGGCACATCAGTAAGCGCCAGCAGAAAATCCAGCCCTCGCACCAGGCCAAAGACTATATCAACCCAGGATCACGCATGTTGCCTCCTGGGAAACCCAGCCAGACACCCCCCAGCTCCCAGCCACACACATGCACATCTCCTCCCACACACAAAGGCCTGCCTTGCAAGCCAGCCTGGCTCCCCAAGGCAATCGCCCAGCCTCTGTCATCCCTCGCAATTCACAGCCGACGCCACCCAGTCAGCTGCTCCCTCCTCTGCACTTCCTCAGAGGGCAGGCGCTGGGCCTGGCTCAGGAGGTAGCTGGTCGGGGGGAGGCCTATGCACCAGTCTGGGGGCATGGATTGTCTGCCCAGCTCCCCAATCTCATCTGCTCCCCCCACCCCCTACCCCAAATCCTTGCTTCCTTCACATGGCCCCTCCCATCTGTTCTCTCTCCTGATCCCCACATTCCCCACTCCCTCCTCCCTGGCTCCCCCCAGCCCTCCGATCTTCCCCAGTCTCATCTCTCCCTTATGCCCTCCATGCTCAGCTGGCTGCGCTGGAGAATGGAAATAGCCGGCAGACCTGAGCAGTGCCATTGGCTCATTGTGCTGTAAGGCAGTTGGCTTGTCCTGGCCAAGTGGGGGGAGGGGAGGCGGTAGCTCTGGGTGTGTTTAACTGGACAACTGGAGCCTGAAGTCAGGCAATAAAGGGTGAAATTGAGGGATTTTATTCCTGCTCTTAGTGCTGATCTTGGCACAGCCTCAGCTCTGCCGCTTCCCTGAGATCTCCATAATTTAACTCCTTTCCTGCTGTGGCACATCCTAATTGTCTCCTGTGCGACAGAACACATCAGCTACCTAGCAGCCGGGGGCCCTCCTCACTGCACGATGTACTCCTCTGTGCTGCTGTGGACTGGGGGAGCTCATGACAGTGCACGGCCTGTGCCTTGGGATGCACCAGGGGCTCCCAGTCTCTGCCTCCTTCCTGTGCAACCAGATCCTCCCAGGGTGCCATCCCCAGTGCTGCAGGACAAACCATCAGCCAGGCACCTGCTGTGTAAGTGATGAACCAATGGCCAAAGAGCATGTGCACTTACTAGCCCTATTTGGTGACTGCCTGGCTGTGCAGGGAGGGTTGACTGGGGCTTCCCGACATGCTGGGATTGGATGGGTTGTTGTTGCGGTGGCCGAGAAGAGGGTAGTCCTTGAGCCCCTGGCTGCTGCTGCAGCCTAGCTTGCTGCTGCTGCTGCTCCTTCTGTGGCTGAGGAGGTTGCTGCAAAGGGCCTGCTTGTTGTTGTGGAGACTGCCTGGCTGATGGCTGCTGCTGCCTGGATGGCAGCTGCTGTTGCCCGGATTGCTGCTGTCTTGTTTGCGGCTGCTGCTGAGAATGGTGCAGCAAAGGCTCTCCTTTCGGCTGTTGGGGCAGTGGCCCATGCTCCGCTTGCCGTTGGGATTTCTGGGACTCTGAGGTATGGTGGTAGCTGGACGGCTGCTGGGACTGCTGCGAGTACTCTGCTGAGCTGGAGGGGAAAGCTGTCTGGGCTCTCATGTCTGACTGCTGAGCCTTCTTCTGGGCAGATGGCTGCATGTGTGTGCGGGCTTCATGACGGCCCTGGTCTCGGGCATGCTGCTTGGATGTCCTCTTGGCCTGTTCATCACTCGGGTGGCGGGAAGCGGCTGAGTGCCTTCCATACTCTCCATGGTGCCGGTGGTCTTTGGAAGAAGAGTGACGTGCCTGAGAATAGTCATCGTGCTGCCACAGGTCTTCATCTGGAGGCTCATCGTAATCATGAAAGGTGTGTTTGATGGGAGGTCTCTTCTGGGAGGAGAAGTGGCCAGTGTAGTGCCTTACCCGCTCTGAGCGAGCTTCCCTGGGCTTATCAAACCAGTCTGTCTCCTCCTGACCCAAATGATAGGCTTCAGAAACCAAACACAGAGCACAGTCAGTCTCTCGGTCCCGAGGTGGGAGCATATCCCACACGGAAGCCATGCAATGAGATAAAAGAATGCAAGCAGCTTATCACATTCATCTGGGACACATCATAGACCCCTCCCCAACAAATACAACACATCGTTACATGCAGCAGGCACTGAACACTAACATGCTACCACCAGACACCCGGAACATGCAGTGGAACAAGGGAGAAAGGCACATGGTACGCAAACGCAGGCTGTGAGACTGTCTTTGCAAATGACCCGTAGGAGCATGCTCTGGGGTATGTCACCACAGGTAACTGTTACCTTCACTGTCTGAAACAACACAATGTGAATCATCCATGATGTAACCTTCTTCATGCTTGTAAGAGTGGTTCCTTGGCACATCTTTGATATGTTCTTGCACATCAGGCAACGAGTGGCTGGAGCAGAACTGGGAACAGCTGTCCCCAGAGGACTGAGGGAGAGGTCCACCTGAGGAGCGGGACACACCCACAGACTTTCCTAAAGGGCTGATGGGACTTTCCTCTTCCGATGTCTGTGTACGAATCGAAGGCCGCCCACGAGTCTGACTCATACTAAGGGAAGATGGTTTGGAGCTTCCTTTCTGAGGCTTCTCCATGCACTCTCTCTCATAGGACTTGCTTCTGCTGCTGGCATCGCGGCTTGATGTTTTTTCTGTCCCATAACCAGACGATCTAGATCTGCTTCCAGTGCTGTATGCTCGATCGTCCTCTTCCGTCATATCCCTGCTGGACATGCCATAGTATTTCTGCTGCTCATACACGTTCTTCTTGAGGCCATAGGTGATCTCGTCCTGAAGCTTCTTTGCCCTGGATGCCACATTGCTGCTGCTGATAGACGTAGTCACTGTGTAGGAGGCCAGGTCCGACTCCACATCTTTGGCTTCTTCTATGGGGGAGAATTTGGAGATCTTTTGCTCCATGCCTTGTTTCCTGTGTTTACTGCGTTTGGACGAGATGACAGCAGGAGCCAGGTTTTTGGAGGAATGCTTCTGCATCCCCAGTCCAGAGCCATGCTTGTCTGAGCGTGTGGAGTGCCGATAATCGTCCCCGTAATAGGAGCAGGGGCCACTGGAGCTGCCTGACATCCTGCCATTGCTCTCCATGCCCCTGTGGTAGCTGTTCTTCCCCCGATGGTCAGCACCATGCTGATCATACATATCCTCCTCTGACTCCTCCTCTGCTTTGGAGTAGCAGCAAGTTCTGCTGGAGCCTTCCGTCTCCACCAGCTCACTCTTCTCTTTGATCTGGCGGCCAGTGCTGCTCTGCACCTGCATCTCCCCCTTGTGGCTGTCTGCCGCAGTGCTCTCTTTGGTCAGCTCACTGATGTCCTCGATCATCACATAGTTGCGGGGAATGTTCTGCTCCAGGTTTGCGTACAGAGAATCTGAAGAGTAACTGGCTGAGGGGCTTTGCACGGCATTGCTCTGGTCAGCTGGACTGGCCTCTGGGGCCTTGTGCTGGGCATAGCTGCCGGTCACTGTCGTGGGGCTGTAAGTAACTTCTGGGGCTGCTGAGGAGATCACCACGGTGGGATTTCCAATCACTTCATAATTGGTGGGGATCTTTTGTTCCAAGTCTGCTAGTGATGTCTGCCGTGGCTTCTGGTGCATGGCGTGCACATCTGCCTGTGTTTGGAAGAGGGCACTCTGTGCCGGCTGTGAGGGCGGCTGATTGGGATATGTGGTCTGAGCTTGGTAGTGATGAGGTGGCCGAAAGCCTTGATGGCTCTGCAAGCCCAGCTGGGGCTGGTAACCAGTGCTGGGAGGGAAGCTGTGTGTCTGATATGTACCTTGGGAGGGGGAGGCGGGGAGCTGACCAGCCTGGAAGCCATTCTGAGATGTGCCACTGCTGACCACAGGGTAATGGGGGGGCTGGAGCCGTGTTTGCTGGAAGGCGGCAGGGCCTGGTAGGGCTGCTGGGTATGGGTAGGGGGCGTAGGAGGAGGCTGATGTGTACTGCGTGCTGGAGAAGTCAGCATAATGGTTAGTGGGGGCAGTGCTGGGCCTGCTGAGCAGACTGCTGCCCTCATAGCTGGAGAGGCGTAAATTGTTCAGCTCACTATCAGACATGTAGTCCCGGTTCTCACCTAGGCATCTCAGGTAAGGGTAATCCCGCCCTCCCCTCTCCTTCAGAAGAGACTCCTTCCTCTGAGTAATGCCCAGCTCCAAGTACTTCAGCTTGGCATCGATCTCCTTCTCTTCCTCATCCAGCTCTGCTTGCTTCTTCCGCAGCTTCGTGGACTCATGCTCCACCAGCTTCAGGTCACGGTCGATGTCTCTGAGAAGGCTGGCTTTGGTTACCTGAGTGGCCTGCTCTCCTACCCCCTTCTGCATGAAGCTGGGCAAGTACAGCTGGGAGTGGGCTTGGCTGGCCAGGGGCAGGTGAGCTTCCTCCGGAGGGGGGCTGGGCAGTGTCCGCTTCACCTTCCGCATCAGAGTGTTTGACTGCAAAGCAGAGATCTAGAAAACAATTGAAACTGGCATTAATCCTAGACACCGGGAGCGCTGCAACTCCCTCGGGATAATGGTGAGGTAAGAACTCTGTCCTGCCGTAGTGTCTTTCAGCAGAGTTTATCGAAGTGCTTAAACGTTCATTTCTTAAGCCTCGGCATATCCCCATGTTATCAATGCAGTCAGTGGAGAAATGGGGAAACTGAGATACAGGGACAGGCCACGACCTGCCCAATATCACAGAGTGAGAGTGAGCACTGGAAATAGAGTCCAAGAGGCCTGACTCCTCATCCCCTGCTTCCCTCAGTGGGAAATGAACAGCTGCCCAGTGCTCATGGCTGTGTGGTGGAGTGGGCAAGGCACTTAACTACAATCCTGAAGGTTGGGGAAGCTGAGTCTCACTTGATCGCACACTAAAACTCCACATCCAAGTCACCCAGCGGCAGTCAGAGGTGGTCAGACGTGATGCTGGCCACATCAATGCCTTGTGCACTGTTAGCTGTGAAACTGGCACACCTTAACCAGGTCAGCCTGCGGAGCCATTGGCTCAGAGGAACTCTGGTGTTGGTCATTGCTGCCTTTTGATTAGCATGTACATCGGCTGTAGTGCGAAGTATGTATCTGCTGCACTATCACTGTGCACATGGAAATGGCCACACCAGCAATGAGAAAAAATAAGAGCCAACTTTACTCTTTTCCCCAAACTGAACCAGAACAGAAACAATCCAAACTGGTTCTGAGGTTTTAAGGGGACAATTGTAACTTGTGGGATGGAGGAGAAACATCCGTTCCTGTGGGACTAGTGGAGCTCTGCAACAGACAACTGCCCACAGGCCTTGGGGGGAGTTGTTGGAGTGGCAAACCTCTCTAGGGTCCAATAAGAAGGCCCCTGGGAAGGCTTTGGCAGTTAAACTACAATACAGAGATGTATGTTAAACCCTCCCTAGGATTGAAAGGAAGCCACTCAACACACAGCTGTGCAAATGCCCAGGATGGGAGCAGAGACACCATCTAAAAGGCACTTTTCTGTGGCTCTGAAACATCTTATGAGCTGACTTGAGAATTTTAGATGATCTATATTCACTGCAAAATAACCTGGCTGGTTGGGTGAAAAACTACACAAGATGTGGTCCTATGGAAGGAGATCTCCCCTGAGCTTCTGACCCTCAAATCTTATCTCAGCCTTTAAGAGTGATGGAATCCAACAAGCCACAGCTTACATTGGTTGAACAACGAAGGCAAAGGCCAAGTCTTCTAGGCAGAAGCCCAGTGAGAATACCAACCATCTCTAATGTCTTCTGTGGAGATTTATGGAGGGTGGCTGAGGAGTAGGTCCCAGGGAGAAGGGACGGCATGGGATTTGGGGGATCCAGAAGGGCAGCACTGGAACCTGGGATGGGGAAAGCATTCACCTACTCCAGTTCTGTGTGGGCTTGCCCACACAAGGACACTCAGGACAGTTAATCCGAATTAACTAAAAGTGTGAATTCAAAATGGATTAATTAACAGGATTAAACCGCTGTGTGGATGCTCTTATTCAGCATTTAAGTGGACTTAATCCAATTTCGCTTAATGCACTTCGGAAGTGGGTGGGTTTCCATAGGAGGAGCAGGCAGAACTCCTTGTTGGCACAATGTTATCATTTTGACCTGAAAAGATGCCATGAGCAGAAATAAAAGTGTGGCCTGGGGAATGTGACTCTCCATGAGAATCTGCAGAGATTCTGAACCCTGATAAGGTGACAACGATCCACACAGCTCCGTGCATGACGGGAACAAAGCCCGTTCAAAGGACTCTGTCTTTTGTGTTCCCGGACGACCCTCCTGAGTGCTGAGATGAGATTGGATGGCTGCTAGCTGAAATCCACCCGGGGAGGGAGGCTGACAGTGCTCCCCCGATGTGTGTTGCTGGCTCTGGCCCCATTCAGCCCCATGATGAGTGTGCTGATGTCACCCCACATGATGACAGTCTACTGAGGATGGGCTTGCCTGTGCTCTTACTGACATTAATGACAAACGGCATCCACTAAGACTCTATCGCATGGTGACATTGCATCAGCATGGAGTGTTACAAGTGCCCCCACTCAGTGTCAGGACATGGTGATCTTCTGTGACCCAGCCGCTGAGGGAAGGAGCTGGGATGAGGCAAAGAGCACTTTAACCAAAGCAACTGTGTTCATCAGGATGCTTGGTGGGCTGCTAGGAACACAAGGCAAGTGATCCCAGTACATGCCAGAGCTATAACTACCTTGCTGCTTAGTGACCTCCCAGCTGTCTTGAACAGCGGTGCCCCCTACCTTTCCCACTTCTGGAATTTGGTTCCTCAGTTGGGCCTGGTCACCTTCAGGGAGGGTACAAGCTCATTGGTTTTTGCCAGCTTTTCTAGAGTTCTGCTATTCCTGTCTGCTGTGCATTCTGTTACAAAAACACGCACTGTGTTTAGTACATGGGCCCTGGGGCACTGCGAAAGGAACAGTTTTATAAATCTGAGTGTAAAAAAATCAGCTACAAATGACCAAATGGACTGGAATTAAGGAAAAGGGCATTTTCTATTGCAGTGTGAGGGGGCAAGAGCCGTGTCGCACGAGCAGCTGTGGGGAGCCTGGGTCCCTCCACCTGCCCTAGGTGGGGACATGGGCCAGGGGCTGCTTTTGCCCTCCCCCCCCCTGCACCATAGGCAGGTGGAAGGTCCGTGCAGCTCCCACAATTGGCTGGGCTCCCCGCTGCCTGGCCAGGGGGTGTGGTCTTGGGGGGGAAGAGGCAGGAAAAGGGCAGGGTCTGCTCCGGCAAAAAGTGGATGGGTCCTGCCTCCCCACCCCCTGGTTCCAGCACCACTATGCTGCTCAGTGGAGTTTGCTCCTGGCTTGCTGCCAAAACCCATCCCCAATCCAGCAAAACCACACATGCATGCCCGTGTCTCGATTCAGCTGGCCACACACCACTGAACCTCTGGGTGGGACACAGGTAACATGAATGATCATCAACTTCTCTGCTCCTCAACACAATTCCCTTTGGCCTAGGGGAGAGTGCTCAGAGCTGGGAGCTCTAGGCTCACTTCTCCTGACTAGGATTAATCAATGTGTGCCCTTTACAGTTCTTCTTATTGACAAGGATTCACATCCCCCTGTGAGGTTCCACAATTTGGAACCAGAGCCCAAGTCTCTAAGGCCTGGTCTACACTAGGCTTTTATGTCGACTTTAGCGCCGTTATATCGAATTAACCCTGCACCCGTCCACACCAGGAAGCCATTTAGTTCGACATAAAGCTCTCTTTAAATCGATTTCTGTAATCCTCCCCAACGAGAGGATTAGCGCTAAATTCGACATGGCCATATCGAATTAGGCTAGGTGTGGATGGAAATCGACGGTAATAGCTCCGGGAGCTATCCCACAGTGCACCACTCTGTTGACGCTCTGGACAGCAGTCCGAGCTCGGATGCTCTGACCAGCCACACCCCCGGGAAAATTTGAATTCATTTTCATTTTCCTGTCTGGGCAGTTTGAATCTCAGTTCCTCTTTGGACATCGAGGGGAGCTCAGCAGCAGTGGCAACTATGCAGAGCTCTCCAGCAGAGATGGCCGTGCAATCTAATAGAAAGAGGGCCCCAGCATGGACTGATCGGGAAGTCTTGGATCTCATCGCAGTGTGGGGCGATGAGTCCGTGCTTTCAGAGCTGCGCTCCAAAAGAAGGAATGCTAAGATCTACGAGAAGATCTCCAAAGCCATGGCAGAGAGAGGCTACAGCCGGGATGCAACGCAGTGCCGCGTGAAAATCAAGGAGCTGAGACAAGGCTACCAAAAAACCAAAGAGGCTAACGGACGCTCCGGATCCCAGCCCCACACATCCCGTTTCTACGAGGCACTGCATTCCATCCTGGGAGCGGCCGCCACCACTACCCCACCCCTGACCGTGGACTCCGAGGATGGGATCATGTCGGACATGACAGCGGACGGGGAAGAGGAGGAAGGAGATGAGGAGGACGAGGCAGTCGACAGCGCTGGCACCGCTGATTTCCCCGACAGCCAGGAGCTCTTCATCACCCTTACCGAGATCCCGTACCAACCGTCCCCATCCCTTACCCCGGACACAGAATCAGGGGACGGATCAAGCAGTAAGTGCTGTAAACATGTAAACATTTATTTAAAACAGAACGGTAATATTTATACTATTAACAATGTATATTTATAAAAGTGCTGTAAACTAGTAAAAAAATAATCAGGTACAAAACAGGAATATTTACAAAGGTAACAAATGGGTTTTGCATGATTTCTCTGTCTTAGGCTCTTCTCAATTTAGTCCCAAGTATTTTAAAAAAATTTCACAATGTCCGTTACTACATGATTCCCAGGCCCAAGACGCTCCACTCCAAAGTCCCAGTGCACCTACGCGAAAATCCGGTCAATGTGGCCGGGGATCGACGAGAAATCCTCGTAGGAGAACTCCTCGTAGGTCTCGTGGAGGTAGAGCTCAAGCCTGTTGATCAGGTTCCGGGGTAGGGCGATCTTAGTGGGCCCTCCGTGGTAGCAGACATGCCCCCTCCACGCCACAATCAAGTACTCCGGGATCATGGCCCGACATAGCATGGCGGCATACGGCCCCGGTTTCTGCATGCTTTCCCGCAGCATGCGTTCTCTCTGGGTGTCCGGGATCCTCAGGAGGGTGATGTCGCTCATGACGCCCTGCTTTGAATTAGGGAGGGGACTGTTAGTATTGGGACTGCTTTACAGCCACGCGGTGGAGGGAGAGGGGCAGCATACAGGGATCTTTCCCTGGGACAGCCGCGAGGGGGTGGGACAGGGGCAGAGTTGATGCTGTCCTGATTGCTGGCAGCAGAGACTGGCATTGCTTTCAATGTGAAAGGAGGCCAGTGCTACAGCTGGAGTTTTAAGCAGCCACAAGTCTGCGGCTTACCATTATTGCCCGCTCCAGAAGTTCAGGTCTCCAGCCACAGTTCTCTGAACACTCCAAGACCTCCGCAAGTCCACAGGCACTGAAGGCGACGGCCGAA